AGCTTTGCTGAATACTTGCCAGCAATAGTAAAATAACACAACCAACTAGATATGAGACATGCTGAAAACATGGGATGATCACCAAAAATGGGCATTTGGGTTTCTTAGGAGTCAGCCTGTGGTTCAGAGTCACCAGAGAAAGATGATTTTAAATACTTCAAGTGAAAACTTATAACAAAACCCTAGAATCCCTATTTGACTAGACCATTTACGCACAGATGTATGACATGGATTAGCCGGCTGCCCAGGAAAAAGCAATGCTTTTGAAATTCATAGCAATCATGTAGACTAAGATTGAGTGTAATAATTTTCTGGTTTTCTGTTCTGAGTTACCCTAAAAATAGTTCATCTTTCTTCTTTGTAAAAACAGTTTATTGCTGGTTACTCAAAGATGACGTGATTGTTGTTTTGATCTGATTAGAGTTCTGTCATTTGTACTGCACCAAGAAAGGGCACACAGATTATACACTTCAGCAGCAGCAAAATGACTTTCTGAGATGAAGCAGAAAATCATAATAACTGTTATGAAAAGAAAATTGGAGAAACTCAAGCACTATTTTAAGCTTTTTATGTAAGTGGACATGTAATAAATGCAACTTTAATGGATTCTGTTCAGTGGCTTTTCCACCTAGTTCATGATTTAATGGGAGTGTTCAAAAAGTCTTTGAATTTCACAGTTACATCTTTACTTCCTAACTTGCAACAAAAAGCTTACTTCTAATTTTTTTTTAAATTTTGTTATTATTAATAGCCTAGCTGGTTAACTAGTAAGACTGTCATATGGAAAAATACCTGCCTTTTTCTTGTGAAGGTCCAAATAAATAAAAAATATGCATAGTTAAATTTGAGGCCTCAGCACTCACCAGATTTCTGCCAGTTGGAACCCAGAATGGGATGAGGAACTATTCCAGCTGTAAAACCACGACAGTATTCTGCAGTTTTCCATTATTTAGTCAAGTTCACTTTAGCTGTCCGTAGAGCTACAGGCAAGTTCCACACCGACCTAGGAGATGAAATAGTTACAGGCATCAGAAACAGGCATGAGAGGACATCTACCGAGGTACATGACTGGCTATTTTACCATCTGGATATCAGATTATTTTGTTTATATTACTATTTTACTTCCACTTGAACTATAATAAATTTTAAAAAATGTTCTTAGACTTCCTTAAGTAACCCAAATCTTGGATTACTTATTTGTATATCTTTACTCACATAGATGTTACTACTAATGAAGTCATATGTATATAGTTGCCCACAATCATAAAAGTGAGGCCCTGCTATTATATTTATTATATTTAAATATATTGATTTCTGGAGCTTTCTTGATAAGACTTGCCTAGAGGATGGTGCTGCTCAGTTATAAAACACAATACAGCAGAAGTGTTTCGCAACAGCTCAGTGCCTAGAAAACGTCCTCACGATGAGGATGTTCTGTTTAATAAGCATGGATAGTCTAGTCCCCAATCAGCAATATAAAATCTGTTCACCAAGCAACTTGCAGGTTCAGGAACTGGAAATGAAGTAGAGAGCTGCTTCTCCTTAGATCACTCTTCCATGTCTGGCCCAGATGAACAGCGACAGATTCACTGCGAACTACTTGGTGGCTGCCCTCAGCAAGTGATCTCCGCAGAGCGATTTGGCAGTACCAGTCCAATTCCTAACTCACCACTCTGTCAGTGTTTGCTGAGCCTGGAGCCAGCTTCCACACGAAGGCAGACGGATGTACGACTGCAAGAGCACAGAGGCTGAAGTGCTGTCACCTGAAAGGTGTCCCCTTGGGAGAAAGGTCGCGACACGTTGACACAGTGGAGTGTAGGAAGCTGTTACTCCGTCATCTTGTCTGTAGATGAGGACAGCGCTGATGCTTGCAGATCTGGTTTCTCTCGTTGGCCCTTTATTTGCCCAGACTTCAATGAAAGTATTAAAGAACTCAATCTGAACGTGTGCCCTGTGTTATCACTCGTAGCAGTA